TAGGGTCCACCTGCAGCCAACCTGCAGGGCAGGGCAGTGCAGAATTTTTCACCCTCAGCCTCTGCCTGTGCAGAACAAAAGATTTTTTTGGTAACCTGCAAACTGCAACGCGGATAAATTTTATTTTACCCCTGCGCGATACCGCGCAGGGGTGAAAAATTATGCAGGTGATCAGCTCTGGTTTAGAGTAAGCAGGGAGAACAAGATGGCAACGTTGTTCTTCTGTTAAAAACAACTGACTAACATCAGCCATTATTTCCAATTCCAGATTGATCCGTATGTGCATCGATTGCTGTTCGAATTTTTCAGTCTAAATGAATAAGTAAAAAGGAATTTCTTGTTCATTCACAATGCTTTTTTTTAAAAGGATAATTTTATATTCTTCCAAAGGAAGACTTTTTGCTTGGTACCATGTTGATAGACATCAAACGAATCATTCGGATCATTCGTAGAATAATGTAAAGCGCTCCTCTGTGGTGTTTGTATAAGAGAGAAAATATATAAAATCTATCTTTTCTTCTCCATTTTATTTATTGTTTCCAATAGATTACTTTATATCAACTCTTATATATAACACATCAAAGAACACATTAACTGTGCTAATTAATTATAGATAATATATATAGAGGCACGTGGGGCAATTAGAACGCGGTCAAAAAGTTTTGCGCTATTTTTCTCGTAACTTTGAAAGATTAAAAGTTTTCACAAAACTTCTAATGCAAAAGTTGTAGACTAGGGTGTTAAGCACCGATTGGTGCAAAAATCAATCGGAAATCTTACCCGCAAAAAGATTGGGAGTAGTTTTACTGGAGAAGGGTCCGAAACGTTCTTATTTCCCGCAAGTGGGAAATTAGAACGTTTGCTGTGTCTGCATGGGGTAAATAGAACGCATCTACCAAAACACACGAGATTCTTCCACAAACGTATTTTGACTTTGATAAGCGTGCTTTCAAGTATATTGAAACACACGGTAGACATAAAATGTAGCAGACATTCAACTCTATTCACCTATATTGATTAAAAGTCTAACGTACTATAAGATCTCAAGATAGTTTGTCCGCCACATATGAGACTCTAATTTCAAAAAAGTTCTGTGCGTTTCTATTTCCCACAAGTGGGAAATTAGAACGTTTGCTGTGTCTGCATGGGGTAAACGGAACGCATCTACCAAAAGTAATGGGATTTTCTTCAAAATGTATTTTCTATTTTATATCTCTATTTCACACTATAGATACAAAGTTTCTTAGGAAAAGATTTAGAGAATTATTTCACTCACGAGCTAATGTACTTTGGAAAGTCAATGCACGTACTCCGGAATATGACGGAGAGCACGAAGAGGATTTCTCCATGTTCATACAACGGGAACATGGAGAAATGTAAAGAATTATTTTAAAAAGTTTTCTAACCGTAATAAAACTCTACAAATCATATGAACAGTGGTGTATGCATTATGCGAAATGTAGAGGACGTTTGTCATCCTGAAGATGATCACTCTAAACAAGCAATTGCCAAGGACGATCGCCTAGCTTTTGGTTAGGAATGGAGATCGCTGATACCATTAGAAGAAGGCAGATCGATGAGGTCAAGAACCTCATTCTATAAATTCTGAGATGTTTCAGATGTCAAGCGTTTGCCTCGATAAACAGTTGTGATGTCCTCTAATGAAACACATTGTTTGTCGACCTCGATTAGTTATCTATGAAGATCAGAAATAAAAAATCGAAATAAGTAAACGAGATCAACGTTATCAGGGCCAAATGCACTGTTCATTAAACAGTGGAGAAATGTTACTGTCGTATACCACCACACACTTTTGTCGGGTGTATAAGTTTCTTCGAATTTTTTGTGTGTTCTTGTTGTGCTTGATTACCTTTATACTGTAATCAACAATGTTGTAACATCTTTCCTTTGTCTGAATCTGGGCTGGTTTGAGTCCAGCAGGTTCTCACCGTCATCCTCAGCTTAGAACAACCTGGAGATGAATATGCGATGAATAGAAATCTACCACTCCTAGAAATCTGTATGACTGCTACAAAATACCTTCTTGTTTAAATTTTACTCAAAAATCGTTTATTATATAGAGCTTTCGATGTTTAAACTAACAACATCAGTATGATATGCCTGTATAGGAAAACTTCACAAGTGCAATGTTTTCTATCTAGATTTCGTTTTTCGAGTGGCCGGTTGAAATTTTCGGAAGGGTAGTTGCCTAAAAATGTTTTTGCTAACCGAAATCAACTGTTTATTTTCAGGTGGGCGCCGTCCATCCGGCCCACCCACTAGATAAATCACTGGCAAGTATAAATACAAAAATATTGTTACATAGAAAATTCTTGAAATACTGAATACTATTCAAAAAAACGAAAGAAAAACCGAAATGGAAAGCGAAATCGATCATTGTGTAATTTCTCTCGGTCGTTATCTCTTCAGTCGATTCTCTACCTAGTACTATAAATGACATTCAATTCTTTTTCAAACTTTCAACATGTGTCTCAACGTCCGTAAGGACAGTCTTATCACTCTTGGCAGCTAGCACCACTATCAGTATAAATATGCTCTGAAGAAAATCATGATTAGTCGAATGGAATCTTTTGTAAAAAAAGTACGGAGATAAGGTCTATCCCGCATAAATGTTGTATACACGAGATATTAGCAGATACATGAGATATGAGCATATCAAGTTAGATATTAGGGATTCGCAAAAGTTTAGCAAAATAAAGGAGAGGCTAAATTCAAAGTGTCGATACTCTTTATACCACCTCATTTTAGTAAAATACGTATGACAGGGAGTAGCGATACTTTAAATTTAATTTTGCATTGATATAGCTGATCTCATAATTAACTCCGATGCTAAAAGAAGATCTTCTAATCGTATTGTTGTTGTCAGAGAAGCTCTTCTCAACAGAGTCGACAAAAATACTCTTTCTTCCGTGAAACCAAATCTTTGACCTATGAACAACAATGGGAATAATAATTAGATATTAGGAATTCGCGAGAGTTTAGCAAAATAAGGGAAACATTAAATTCAAAGTGCCGCTACCCCCGCTTATACCACCACTCCCGCCACGAGTATCGCGTATTTTACCAATATCTCGTGTGTTTCACTAATATCTCGTGTAATCGGTAGTATCCAGCTTAATATGCTAATATTTCACGTATTCACTAAAAATTTACGTATTTTACTAATATCTCGTGTATTTTCCGAAAATCTCACGCATATTACAGGACTTTCCAATTTTCAAACGCGATTAGAGTCCAGGAGAATGTGATATTCGGAATCAGCATAGTCGATTGTATATGGGTCCATGATTTTTATTCCAGGGTACCCCCGAAAATTAAATTCAGGGGGCCCAAAGAAAAATCAAAGAACGCTTTGGATCTGAATTTAGTAGACAAAAATGTTCTCTTCCAAATGACATCTGAGCGAGCCTGATTGGTTTATTTCTGTCCGAAATATGATCAATCTGCGAATAGCCCTAACTAGGCATACAGCAGTTAATTTTACGTATTTTTTGAAAAATACGTAAAGTTAACTGCTGCATGCCTAGCCCTAACACGTAAATCGAAAAAGCTGAAGATGGGGCTATGGCTGAAACCATGGCTGAAAATGCAAAATAAACAAAAGAAATTCGCCTTTGCGCCCAGTCAATAGAGAATTTCAGGAGTTACAATTCTGCATATTCGGCTTTGATACAACAAAAAAATTTCATTTATTATTGGCGAAACACCTTGTATAGTTACATTTTTCACATTTTTGAGGCACATCACATTTTGTTCAGCCGAAACAACATTACAAAATTCCGGCTTATCGTTTATATACTATTTAGTAGACAGTTGAACGCGGAATCTTTTGGCAAAAAGAGCAGCTCGATCGGAATAAGTAACAAACAGCGGTAGCGCAAACGAATTAACTGATTAGTTGGATGAAAGCATGAGAGAATAGTTTTGCTTCCAGTCTGTATATGGTTTCTTTGATAAAACCTATCGATACAATATATTTTGTAGTACTTCATTAAGATAAGGTGACGACATCAGAGATATACACTATTAATTTTTGAAACATGCAACGAAAGTGCAGGCAGAATCATACTCTCAAAATGGTATGGTCACAAGGAATGTGGGTAAGTTTCAACTCATGGTTCTGTATAGTCTTTGAACACAACAAGAACAAAAATTGTGTTCAAGTCTTTGCATCCAAGTGTATTGAGGTCAGAGTCGTCTGATATATGTAACTAGAAGGAATATTACCATTTGCTGTTGCGTATGATTCTGCCTTCCCTTTCGTTGCATATTTAGAAGACCAATATTGTGTATCTTTGATACCGAGAAAACGGTCATGAATGCTATACAACAGTGCATATAATATCCGATTTATAATTACATTCCAGTCGGCAGTTAACAGGTTTCTCTTAAATACGAGGACAGATTTTACTTTTCGAAACATTTCATTATCACTTTTCATATTTATTTTGATTTGTTGACTTTGACTTACGTATTGAGAAAATAGTCTTACACACGTGAAAATGACATCAACATGAACTATTTACACATTTAACTGTTTAATTCACTAGTATCCACATAGCGTTAAATTTGTTACATTCTTTAGAAAGACCATGATTTGAAACGTCTAAACGTCAGGTTTCATTAACTTTGGTTAAGTGCTTTGTTATGAAACAAGCTCCAACTTTTTTGATCTAACACGCCCATTAGAACATTTCCATTATTTTATAAACACTTAAATTCACCGAATGAAGCGAAGTTTTGTTATTTTGCACGAGTCAAAATGACTTAAATATATAATACATAATTGTCAAATCGTTTTGTGATGAAAGAAAATAACACATTTTACATTTCGTTTATTTTCCTTTCGAGTTCGCCTAAACCAAATGTTTCTTCTAAATCTTGCTACATATTGAGAAAAGATGTGAACAATTCAATAAGCTTCAGTTCTTGTTGATCGAAGTTGACCGTTTGGTTCATGTTTTGTAATTTTCCAATGATATCACCTTTCGTAGGATCTTTTTGCACATAATAATCAATAACAAGTTTCATTATACCTTGAGACATTTACGCTTCATACTCTTCTCCATTGTTTGTCACTCTTTTTCCAAAGTCTATGAACGTTATTTTTAGTGCTTCATCATTATAGAAATATTATCCATATGATTGTCGAGATGTGCAGTTCGACATCGCACTAAAGCTTTTATGTGTACCAATAAACTTTTTTAGAGGAAAAAATTACTTTAATCAAGGATAATCAAAATGGTCATGGTTTATCAGTTCGCGAGTTGGCTGATAAATACAAAATATCAAAAAGTAGTGCTGCCAATATTCTTCGTCGGAGTGAAGAATTTTTAGCTGATTATTCATCTAATTGTAATAAAAGTGTTAAACGCAAACTGAAGGACGAAAATGGACAAAAAATCGATGAACTTGTCTTCGAATAGTTCACTCAACAACGTGCGAAACAAATTCCTATTTCTGGCCCAATTTTACAAGAAAAAGCAAGGCAAGTCGCTGAAGAGTTGGGTTATACATTAGAAACATTTAAAGCATCAAACAGTTGGCTTGAAAAGTTCCGCAATCGTCACGCTATTTCATTTCGAACGATTAATGGTGAAAGTGCTTCGGTGGACAATTCTACAGTCGAGGAATGGTCACAGCGACTTTCAACAATACTTGATGGATTTAATGAAAACGATGTCTTTAATGCAGATGAGACCGGTTTATTTTATCGTGCCAGACCTGATCGTTCATTGGTCTTATCGAAGGAAGAATGTAAAGGTGGGAAGAAGAGCAAAGAAAGACTTACAGTTTTATTGTGTTCGAATTTGACGGGAACGGAAAAGTTAAAACCAGTAGTAATCGATAACAGTATATTCATTGATTAATCATCAATTTATATAATTTTTAATTTACTTTTAGGGAAAAGTAAACCTCCTCGTTACTCGATACTGTTGACTAACTGATCAACGTATTTGTATTTGTTTCTGTTTGACTGTGAAATTTATTCTAAGGGAAGGTAGATGCGAGTGGTAAAATTATTTTTTGCCTTGGAATATGTGAGAAGTGACTCTAATTTTGTGAGAAACTGTGAATCGTGTCGTTAGAACTTTGGCTTTTAAGCTTGAGTTTCGGAGAACTTGCATGAAATGGTAGGAAACTGGCTTATTCCGTCTGCGGTAGGTTTTCTGAGAGTACTGGACGGAGGTTGTTCATTAAAAGCAGCACACACCCAAATCAACATACGTGGCGTTGAAGTTAATGGAACCCAATATACACAAGGTATTTCAGTGCGCTCGAAACTACAAGCACAACCGTAACTCCAGCAGATTTTAACCGAACAGAAAAACAGCATAGCCATCAACTTTTGGAAGTTTACAATTCTGGGCTGACAGATGTGCGCAAATAGTATAAAGACTACAGTGGAACCTCTGTATAGTGGACACCTTCTGGACTTCCCAAAAGTGTCCACTATACAGAGGTGTCCACTTTAGAGAGGTTAAGTCTTTTTTCAAGTTTTGTGATGCAATACAGCCTTTTGAATGCGTGCAGTACTATGAATAATATAATGAAATTTACTATACTTTTACCGATCTACCGTTCATTATTTTATTTTCACAAAGAAAACAACAACAATAGAAAAAAACATCAGCAATAAGAAAAATAGTCTGTAATAGAACTTTATTTAACCGCTTTTGAATCAAGATAAATATCAGTTAATTTTGATTCTAAATCAGATATAAGATTGTGTAATTGAGGTTGTTCGATAGAAGCAAAAAGGCAAGTCCGACCATTTTCAAGTCCAAGTCAAGTACAAGTCCGACAGAAATTTTACTTGTGAAGTCCAAGTCAAGTCCAAGTCCAAGTCCAAATGTACGACAAGTGCAGGGTAAAGTTCGGGTAGAAGCGCGCCAAGAAGACCACTGTCGACTGTGTCAGTTGAAAGCCAAAGTCCATGTCTGATAGAATTTTTGTAATACAAGTCGAATTCCAGTTTCAAAGAGAAAATTTTTTGCTTGAATAACAATAATGTATGCTTGATTACAAAAAATACAGCCAAAACATCAAATATCAATGAGACACAAAATAACCACCGAAAAAAGAAAAAAATCTAGATTAAACTAAAATTGCATTTTAATAATGTTAAACGTGACAAAGTCTGTTTTGTCATTGTAGCTCTATGTGGTCTAATAAGAAATCCACTTTGTGAGAAAACACGCTCCACCGATGCTGATGTTGCCGGTACGCATAATAATTTATATGCTAATCGATTAAGAGATGGATATGATTCCTTTTCATCAAAAACTAAACAAGTTTCATCACTCTCTTCGTTTAAAAAAAGCATTATTTCTTCATTTATCGTACTTTGTGAAATTAATCTAGTTCTTTTCGCGTTTGGTGTTTTAAAATATGAAAATAAACCTTTTCTCTTTGTATTAGCTCCCCCACCCCGCCCCACAGATTGTATGAATGTGTGCCGGAGCACACATTCATACAATGTTTTACTTTTGTGGCTTAGATATATTCATATAGCTATCGTATTGGACTTCAATATGTCTTCAAGAGACAAAGGAGAGAATGAAAGGGACTACTAGGGTGCTAGAATTATATTATAAAATGTATTCGGCCAAAAGCGAGATAACAGTTGGGGACTTTCCATGGTTAGATCCACTTTGCCCTCACCCTCAGACAGTTTTCTTCTTCATCATCAGGTGCTGCAATCGTGTCAGACCGGTTTTGTCTTCACTCTCAACTGCTGTAGTGCAGTCAGCTGTTTCTTACCCTCACTGGCAGCTGCCCTAACGTGGTCTTGTATTTACCGTGTTCATCCTTTAATGCCCTTTACAGCTGGCTGCAAACCCTAACCGGATCTGTCTCGTTACCGCTCCGAAGAAACGTTAGCACGCGTCATATTTGAAAATTTAACCCGTTCAAACGCAATCTTCTCGAAAACTTTTTTTTAACCCATGCTAACCTGTGTTAGGGTATCAAAATTATTTTATGGGATAAGCAAATTTCTGTGGAAATCGGTTTTAACAGCAGCTTTTTATTTTGTTTATAGAAGGAAGAAAAATATGCATCTCGACTGGCAATCGAACCCAGGACAGTGGTATTCACGACCATTGTCCTGACCGCTCAGCTATCGAGACCAGAGACCGAAACGGGTCGGGTCGGATCCGATTGTCTCGGGTCGGGTTCGGGTCAATGTAAAAAATATTGATTCGGGTCGGGTCAAAGGAAAAAAAAACTTCGGGTTTTATTCGGGTCTTGCCACTAGAACACAAATTAGGAGAGTTTCGTCGGTTACAATTCACTCTTCTATTTTCAAACACCTGTCTTTTTCTTCCATTCCACTAACACATGAACTTTTGAACTCATATGATAAAACCATTTTTTCGTTATTGTCTACGAATTTTGTTGTTAGAACCACTTTTATTTACCAGTAAGGCCCAATTTTAGCATCCCGGCAGGAAAGCTCTTTGACGGGCTCGTTTGGAAAAATCCCAGTTTTCAAACTGTAATCTACTGTATACACTAACATTTTATATAAAAATATTCGATTTTATCTGGTCACCCAAGCTGCCATAATTGTTAAAAAGATGTTCTCAGGAAATAATATTCTCGAGCTCTCTTAACGTTGAAAAGTGAAGGAAGTGCGATATCAACCTGACGACAAACTCATCTTTTTCTGTTACAGGATTTGTAATTTTAAGGTCAAGTGTTACACCTTGTATTTTTTCTCAGTTTGGGAATGATGTTACAACTGAGCGAAAGAAAATATGACTCAACTGGGACTCGAATCCAGGACCGTGACATTCCGTGTCAACGCTCTAACCACCTAAACTATCGAGCCACAATCTTATCATATCGTCTTACGTAAGAACTTACGTAACATCAAGAATCTCCGGGAACCCAAAACATGAAAAGTAGCTTTCAGATTTCTATCACCTGTTTAGTTATTATGTCTCATTTTCGGCCGCTGGCTGATCCTTCAAGTAATGTGTATTATGTGTCACTCTTTCTTGAAGAAAAGAACGCGTAACAAAAACAATTACACGGAATTGGGAATAAGAATGAATAAAAGACAGCAATGTTCTCGGAAATTTCAGCTCCAGCTCGTCTGAAGCCAACTCCAACTCGAAAGAGGAAAAAATTAAAGGAAAAAAAACAACCGGAGTTGAAACGGAGTTCCGAATTTTTGAAACAGAGTTAGACTTGGATCGCAAAATTTAAAAACGGGGTTGAGTTAGAGTTGAGTTGAAGTTGAACTTCGGCGTAGTTGCCCAGCCCCGGCATATCTAACGTATCTACGCTTCACATATGTTTATTATACTGATTTATAATTTGTGGTACAGAAACATCAACATAACTGTTATCTCGTTTACTCCACCTTGATAACGTTATTGTTGGTTCGATACCAACATGGTTTGAGCTCAATAAAACTCTTTTGGAATCTTTCTGTGCAACAGTCATACATTGTTTATCGTTAGAAACAAAATGTTTATAATAACCGCGTTGTTTTGTTTTCAGTTGTTGTTCTGTTGATATAGAATAGTCACCAGTGCGATTTGGCCATTAACGTACAAGTAATATCATAACGGAGTTCAGTCATTTTTTTGATCAGTTTTACCGACGAAAAGAAAATTATTAACACATATATTTGAACGAATTGGTACATTTTCACGAAAATCTAAAACAGCCATTCCTGATATACCAGAATCTTTTATGTGTTGTGCACGTTGTTTGATTTGTTCGTAAGTTTCATTGTTATGTGTAGTTACTTTTGTTAGTGTACCTGTTGAGCGTGCTAGTGATGTATTTGTGTATATGTGTTGCTGGGGTACAAGTAACAGATTTTGTTGAATCATGGTGTAGAACTACTTCATAAATAAAACCGGATACTCCATATTTAGCCCATACCTTAAATCCTCGGTTTGTAGGTTTATTTGGAATATGTTGCTTAGATGAAGTTGGTGCTGTTTTTTCTTTATAAGCTATCATCTGTTCATCTATAGAAATATATTTTTCAGTGTCTACAATTTTTTTACATCGTTCAATGAAAAAATCCAATATCGACTGAACTTTGTCAGACTTATTTGTTTCAATTGTATTACCATGTAAATGTAATATTTTTAATAAACGTTCAATACGATCGTGTGATAGTGTCTGCAACGAGCGATTGACGAGAAAGATTTGACCAATAATCAGGTTTGCTTGGTAATAGTACAGTAGAAGAATAATAAGGAAAACCAAGTAAATAATATAAAGTCGTATTCAGTCATTGGACGTTGTCGTGTTAGATTATTTTGTGTTCTATATAAATTCGATTGAACAACAATGTAATCAACTACTTCTGGCGTGAGAAATAAACGAAATATATTAATTGGTGAAGGACTTTATGATAATGCATGCTATATTTTGAGATAATTTTAGTTCATCATCATAGTAAGGTAAATTAGGTTTAATTGTTGTTTCAGACCATGTTCGACTCTTGTAACATCCACTATTGAAGCATCATTAAAGTTTTCATTATCATCCTTTTTGTTTTCAGTAACAGCATCTAATTCATCAGATAGGCCAGAATCTTTTGATATATTATCATTATCACTTGAAATATCTACTTTATCAACAATCGAGTGGGTTTGCTATCTTAGCAGAGAAATATGTGATTCAATGTGAGATTTTTAGTCGGAAAAAATGGATGGTGTCGATGAGAAACGCGTAGAGTTACTTCGGACAACGTTGTCCGTTTTTGAAGTCGACGATATCAGATGTCAATTGTCATTTCAAGGAAAGACCATCGAACTCGATGTGAGTTTTATTATCTTCTCGGATTTTTAATTATTTTGTCTGTTATAGGCAAGGGAAAGCAGTTCGTGTGTACTTG